TGTTATACTGGGTATCATCACTGTCAGGTTCAGGTTATCAGACTTGATGGCCTGCTATATATTAATAATAAACTCTTTTTTTCTTGTCATATATATCATTATTGCCTCCTGATTTAATTGCCTTCCAAGTGAACATTTTTCTCAAGTATTTGCCTCTTGGACTGTAGGGTGTTACTTGATAGCCGGACCTAGCTTACACACATATTGTTCTTGTCTCCATGGGAATTAAAGATGCAACTTCTACTGATTTGATCAGCACAGAGTTTTGTTTTTGTCTGGGAAGTTGGAAATAATAACAGATGCATGCTAAAGGTAAAAATACTTCCATCCACCTCACAGCTGAGGAATGCAGAACCCAACAAGTGATTGATCCAGTAATGGAAAGGAGGGACCAAGAACAGAGCTCAGATCTCCTGAAACACAGCCACTTCATTTGGTAACTGCTGGTTATCAGTCAAGTTGTAGAAAACATTGTGGATTTGGCCATTCTTTTGCATATCTGTCATTATAATGCCATGCAACAGCTTGTCAGCAGCAGCTGTCATCTGCGATTTTTGGATGGAGCCTATGTGGACATCTGAAATTAGGAAAATCAGGTGGAACTTGAACAAATAATTTCCTTGTAAATAAATGTGGCATTTAAAATTATATGCTAAAATATGCAAATATGGTATCTGTTTTGAAGGAAAAACATGGGTATGTGTTAACTTCCTTCTAAATTAATTCAGCACAAGTGTCTTTGGAGCTTAAATGTAGGCCTCAGGAGAGTAAATACTGCATAATGTGATATGCTGGAAAAGACTTGAAATGCACCCATTTAAAGCTCATTTTACTGCTGTATTCACACACAAAATTTCTAGCTGGCAAGTTCTGCACCTAATTTGCAAAGACTACAACTTGCTACTATAAAATTACTCCCAATAAAAGACTAAATTTATTAAAGGGAATTTTGGTTACCACTAACTACAGCAATAACTGCAAGCAATTTTAACATTGGTTGTTAAAACACAGTATTATAAAGTAATATTTGTATTCAGTATTTTTTCTGCATGTGTTTTGCATATACATTTTCATATTTAAATTGAAGTCAAATATTCAAAATAGAGAAGGATTGAATGCTTTCAGATTTTTGTACTTTCTATATAATTCCATTCTGCATAAATGGGACTAAAGAGTTTGTAGGATTAAAGTAAGGCACAGTTCAAGAAGCCTGAAAAACAAATACTCTAATACATCTGGTTTAAATAGTGTTTAATGTGACAAAAATATTGGTTAAGTTGCACATGAATTAGGGACAAGTTAGACTTCTCCATCTTAGTGCCCCTTCTCTGTCACACAACAGCCCACATAACGTCATCACTACGGCAGCCCCAAGGACAGCAGCCTTACTGAGCATGCGGATGGTGACTGTCATGCATGTGTGCTGCTGACCTGATGCTTCCTGCCAGCGTTCGGTTACATGGGGAGCAGGCAGCTACTGCCTGTACACTGCATGTGCACCTGCCTCTTGTCAGAATGAGCTCACAGGCTGCAAGCAGGATTAATTGTTCAGTACTCAATAAAGGGCACTCAGTGGCAGCTGAGGTTAGTTTTTGCTTTCCTAATGGTTCATGGATGCCGGAGTAGCTTCCTTGATACCATGTATACGTTAATATTTTCAGTAAAATTCTGACTATTCTACTACCATGTAATTCTTGTCTCTATCCTTTCTGCCTTGTGTAATCTCTGGTGATCACTATAAGGTTTAATTTTGTTCTGATTAAATGAAAAAGGGGTGAGACAGACTGGACTAAATGAACTGTCAAAACATCTAGGAGATTTTTCAGCATAAAAGTATTCCCAAAATAAGCATTTCCCTAAGAGAAGACTTGACAAACATCCTGAACAATAAAATTCTTGAAGACTACCCAGTTGATGGGATTCTTTTCAGGGCTAATCTACATAATTTGACATAGTTACAGTTATAAGCTCTTGAAAAAGCCTTGGAAGGTAGTATGTCACTGAAGCCTACATTCTATTGGGTCTCATTGCATTTGGCAGCTGTACAAAACTGTGAAGCATGGAAATTTGCTCAGATAGATTGTGATGACACAAAACACGTACCACAAGCTTTGAATGCTCAATGCAAGCTTGTCCTGTGCAGAAAGATACCACAGCCTCCTGACCCCGCTGTCCAGTCAGCCACATGATGTGCAATGAAAACAGTTTGAGATACGGGTGGTGGTTCCCTCCATATAAATGCCCATTAAACCACTACTTCGTCCACAAGGTAGCAGTGGACATCTGAGTGTCTGACTCCAGCTGCCTACAACTGAATGTAGCCAAGTAACTTAAAATTCTAAAACTAAAGTAAAAGATACATCTTAAAGAAAGAATTCCACTTTCATAGATATATAAAAAATCAAGTTTGATATACAGACACACACTCTCTTCTAATCAAAGATGCAAATTAAGAATTAAATAATTCTGTAATAGATCTATAGAAGTAAGACTGCTAGCTGAGGATGACCCCTATTTTCTACTTTTGTCATAAGGATTTCTCTCATCATTACATTTCAGCAATGCAAGGGAGGAGGAAAAGAGAGAACCCTTTTTCCAAAAAGCTGTACAGTCTTCTATCAAGCAGACTGAAGTCTATGTCCCACCACAGACTATCATGGTGCCTCCCAGAATATAGTGTGATTTGCAGAAAAATGTGAAGATTTCCTCATTTAAAGTTGAAGATACATGTCTGAAATGCAGAGCAAATACTGGTTTGTGTGCTGGTCAGGGAAATCTAGTTCAATTGGTTAATCCTGCTCTTCTTGTTAAGTGTTGTTCCCATTCCCTTTCTGAGACAATTCTGTACTTGCACTGCTATATTGTTAATTATCTGTATCATCAGCCATTTTTGTTCAATGGCTAGAGAATCCAGAGAAGTCAAAGCATACTTACAGCCAAAGGAAGGTGCCAGAAAAAGCTATAGCCAGCATCTATATTATAATTAATATTTCACAAACTTCAAGACTACATACACAGCAATACTTACAGTCCTGCTTATTTTCAGTAGTTCTGCTCACTGCACAATACAGAAAATACATACCAGAGCTTTAAAAATGTAATAAAAAAGTCTTTCAGACAGACAGCTTCCAGTGTATTCACAGAAACACATCCTTTCACCAGACTAAATGGGAGCATTTCGAATGGAGTTCATCAGTTGATCTTGGCAAGCCTTGATTAATCTCATTAGCTTTCTTCTAGCTTACAGAACACACAAGGGACTGTGTGCCATGCTGTATGTTGAGAAATAACGGCATTTTAATTGCACTGGGTATTAACAAAATCCTTTTCGAACAGCAAGCTTTTAATTATTTCATTTTTTTTAAATTTATCATAAGGAAACAACTAATTAGCTTTCACTTCTGCTGGGCAGAAGTTTCTTTGTAGAAGACTTAAGTACAGTCCATAGAGCTTAGTTTAACAGCACTGCACCTTCATTGGGAGATTATATTTGAAACATGGAATGGTAATACAGACAGAAAACAAACCTAAAGTAGTTAAATACCATTTTTCAAGCTTTTAATAGTTAAAATATCAATGCATTCTACTGTTGCCCCCCAAATCAGATCTAACGTAATTAGTGTTACAAAATAACAGCAGTATTCTGGACTAGAAACCATTGTCACCAGAGGGTTGAGTTATACACAGCAATCACTGAATAGGTGGACAGTACTAAAATGTTACTGAAATACTACTTAAATAAATATGTCAGTTATACCTCTTTAAATTGGTACCAAAAATCAAGTGCAGAGATGGCCACAGTGAGGCCTCCCTCATGATGAGACTATTGTTACAATTTGAGAGAAGATATAATTAAAACTCCGCACCCTTGAGGAGACTGAAAGTGAAAGCTGGGATGTCTTTCCAGGCTAGGGATTTAAGGTTTGCTGCTTGAGAGCTACCCTTTAAAGACAAAGATCTGGATTATTTTCAAGTATAAATACAAATTATGTTAATAGCATGCTTTACTGATTACTGTCCAAATGCTCTCTGCACTAAGGTAGATGCTAAACTGTATTACCAATGTCCTAAAATATACTGATACTTGCTGTTGAAATCAAAGAAAAAAAACCATCTAATGAGTTGGCAGAACAGATATTTGCAAGCCCACATGGATGATACAGAAAAATTGAATGTAGGAGTAAAATTGCCATAATGGTGAGCCTCAACCCATGGCCTGGAGTACAGAACTAGATTTGTAGCCTCAAAACTGTGGAGGAACAACTGTGACCAGTCAAACTCACACTAGCTACTAAATTTTCAACAGAAGCTAAATCAGGTACTTGTTTCAGAAAGGACTGTAATCTCATTTTATTTATCCTAAGCAACTGACATGTCAGTACCTGACATGGTAAACTTCCAATGTATTAATTCTTACCTTAGGAAAATCTTACCTTCCTTCGAAAGACCAAATTTGACTACCTTTAGCTTCCAACCAGTGGAACCTGTTTTGTCTTCATGATAACCTATGTCCCTCTGTGGAAACACTGATAGGCTTTGAGTCACCTTGCCGCTTCCTCTTAGCTAAACTGAGCAGAGTGATCTCCATAAGCATTATATCACAGAGCGTGTTTTCTAGCCCCAGTACTTTTGTGGCTGTTTTATAGGTCTCCTTTGTATTTCTAAATCAGCTATGAAGTGTGGACACCAGGCCTGGACTCAGTGTCCTCCCAGCATTCTCATCATTGTGAAATCACCTCTTAGCCTTTACTTGCACTTCTTTTTATCTCTCTCCCTCTCTTTCACACACACACACATAAAAGCATTAGCCTTTTTAAGTAAGGAACTGCAAAAGTGGGTCATGATGAAGCTGTTATCATCAGTGACCCATTACTTCCTGGCTCCACGCAAAGAAAGCAAGGACAAATCTGGTTCTGTTCTGTTAGCAAACAGATTACTCGCACTTCAGATACAGAAACAGAATTTTGAACTTTCCGAAATGTCTGCTGAGTAAGAATTACCTGAGTAAACTGCCAGTAAAGCTTCATTCTCTTGGCTTTGGCATAATTGCATTCAATGAGCCTGGGCCTGCTGTTCACATCCACCAGGCATCTGTTGTCATCATCGTCGATAGTGGGACTCAGAACACCCACATGGAGCTGCTGATTGCTTGTGTAATAAACATTCTGCAATAGGAAGCACAAACAAGATTTGTGGCCTCTAGACATAAGCAGTACTTTTACCAAAAAGCTAATGGCAAAGATAAATATGCTGAATAGCAGTAGGCTGATCCCACAGCGGCTTTTAAATTATTTCCTTTTATGCAGGAGGCAACACAACATTATAAATGTTGTTCTAAAATAACAATTAATTGTTACCAACAAGTAAATGTTGGTTAACTACTTAATAGGAAAGACGGACACAAAACTGATTGTTGTCTCATTGTGTGCCTTTTCACTTCCGTTTCCTATGGTCATGCACCGTGGGTCTTCAAAGAGCAAGATGCACACACTCTAGCAGGAAAAGTGGGATCAGTTTGAGTATTGCCATCAACTCTGATTAGACTATTTCATCTGAGGATAATATCTAACTGGAGAGGTAAGAAAGCGAACAGATGGAAGAGTCCAGCAGGAAGGCTCTCAATTTTTTAAATGACAGACAGAAAGACAAATGAAGGTGTTCTACAAACAAATGTTAAAAAACAAATTTGAGGCAGCTAACCGGAATCCAGTATGTACAATAAAAAGTTATTAGCAGTTGGCGACAGACAGATACATGGCAGGAGACAGAATAGAATGGCCATGTTTCAGACTATTTGTTCTCATTTTATTTTGTATATGTCAATATACACAGACATGAGAGACTGGAAAAAGGGACCAGACGCTGGCTGCTCTGGATTTGTAGCAAAGGAGTGCTCTCATAAGCCTCAGTGATCACACTTAGGACCAAAGGTGTGAGACTATTACATTGCACAAATTCTTTCCACTCTGTTTGACTACAAACAGATATGTGGGAGGTTTCTCTAGAAGAAAGAAAAAGAAGAGGAAGGAAGGCGAGCTTGCCAGACAGAGTCTGTAATGTGTCCTCTTGAAGATAACAGGTTACATATAAGCCCAGAAAGGTAACACAGCACTATGCTAGAATTGTCTGTTTGCTAATCACAAATAGTATTTATTCCACTAAAATCAGACACTTTTCTTGAGAGGACCATGAGAAGGATGAAATGGCAACATCATGCTGTAGCAGCCTTATCTGGTAAGGGTAGGTGTAAGGCTTTGACAACTCTAGTGGTATCAAGAGTCACAACAGACAAGAGCTGGACAGAAGCACCAAATTAATGTCTAATTCTATGTGTCTGTAACAAAAGGCGAGCTGGAACTTATGCTGTGTGTATTTGGGAATGTTTTCTGTTCCCGGCAGCTGATGGTGCTATCTCCTGGTATCTGCTCATTGTTGATGTTGTAGCTTGTTTTATAATTGTGTATTATTATTTGTGAAAACTCTGATAAAATATTAACTGGAAACAGCAGAGAAAGCAGAAAAACAGAACAAACCAGGACTGAGAAGAGATTTGGGAGCTTAATGTCAAAAAATAACTTTGAATGCTGAAATCAGTCAATGCAGGGATTAAATACAGATCAAAACAAATGGTGGTGTTTCTGTACAAGACTATATCCTCTGTTTATCCTCCCAGAACACTTCCAGAGCAGATCTGTAACAAATATAAACTGACATAATTGCATAAAAGTTAATGAAGTTTCCATTAATGGTTTACACTAATCAAAGGTTTAACCCCCTTCATCAAGTTTCATTCTTTTCTCCCCACAGAAATGATAACAGAAATCTGAGCTGGTCAAACTGAGGTGAGTCTAGGTTTTAAGAGTCTGGAAAGAGAAAAGTTGAATAGTTCAGTCATGCCTTATGGAAGAAGAAAAGGGTAAATAAAAGGACTTAGCAGAGCACATTTCCAAAATCGTTGGTTATTACTGATTGAAGTAAACGGTAAGAACTGGAGAAGGACTAACAAGATGACACCCCAACAGACTCCATCCACAAGTTAGACAAGAGACATTCCTGCAAACAAAACTGATGCTTTAGAAGAGCAATAAACATTTAGAATGTGCTTTCTAGACAGACCAACAGCAACTATTTTAGATACGTTTAAGATCTATCCAGATGCTTTTTTTGGAGAGTGACTGAGATAGTGATACAGCAAGGCAGCAAGCTCAAGGTGATCTTTAAAGGGAATTGTTAGGACATATTGACTCTACAAATGAACATTTTGTTGCAGCTTGTTTGCCTCTTAGGTAAGATTACTACTAGAAAAATGAGGGGGAAATTGTCAGTTATTTGCATTTTTTACTAATAGGAAATGATTTGTTAATTCCGTTTTTTCAGCACCTTGTCACCACAGCAAACACAGTAGGAGAAAATTAAGGGGGGCTGCATTTTTTTTTTCTTAAAGATACACATCAGTCACCGAAAACAAATGAGCAGGCTTGGCTGTAACTCTGAGAAGTGCACACTATAGCTCATGGCTGCTTGTGCAAAAAAAAAGTGGTGTATTTGTAAACTCTTGGAGCTGAGCTGTTTTTATTAGCTCAGTCTCCTCGGCCTTTCAGACTGAAGGCTCCAGGCAATCATTTCATCTTTGTGGGTAAAGCAAGCCCAATTCGTAGTGCAACTCCACGAGTTTTTTTTAATGTCAAATCAGCAATGGTTCAGTCTGAGCATCTTTCTGGGCAGATGTAGAATGATGGCTCTGGCTGGGAGAATTACTCAATTCTGTTTGTTGGAAAAATTGTACAGAAATTGAATGATCAAATGCAATTATGCTTAACAGATTTAATTAGCAGGTTGTTGATTATCTTTAGAGAGCTCACCCTACCTGCTAATGTCACTTCATTTTTCATTGTGGACCAGTTTAGAAAAAGAGGTGTGAAATTTTGTATTCTCACCTAGTACTGGGTACTGGGTACCTTTCAGCTCATAAGTGACACGTAAAAATAAGCTCAGACTGAAACAGACTGTGGTACAATGGCAGTTAGTCCATCTAACTGGGCTCTTTCAGGATGTTGCTTTGCTTATCCGGTAATATGGCTATTATTTAATTATTCTATGTATTATTATAAATAGTTTAGTATCTTATCCAGTAATACGATATCTTATTTCAGAATTGAAAACATTGCACCACCTGGTAATTTGACTAATGTTTTTCTAATGGAGGCATCATATCAAAAGCACATACCCTCTACAAATTCTACTTGGGCAGCATACTAGCAAACAGTGAGGTATTGGTTTGTGTTGCACTTAGCCAGAAAACTTTCCTTAAAATCTATGAACAGTCCCCTGGCTCCTTTCCCCCAGCACAAGAATGAAACAATCCCTGCACTGACAGAGCATAATAGTAAGTATGTCAGAGTAAAAAGAGGACACCCATTTGGTAAAACAGAATTTACTATAGACACTGCTGATTAATGTTCTTCTAATCTGAAACCTAAAGCCATTAAACATGAAACCATGGTAAAGCCTCCCTTTAAATCAGTTCTTATTACAAAAAATATTTTAATTGCTTTCACATCATTTCTCCCTGTTTCCATTTGATTATTTTCATTTTCCAAAATAAAAATTTTGAGTTCCTTTTTTGGGGTTTTTTTGTGGGTTTTTTTTGTGTGATTTGGTATTTTTTTAGTTTAAAGATGGTACACAAATTACCTTTCTGGAGTGGGCCGTAGAAGATTAACCAGCTGAGTTACATGAACTGAATTACCATCTCATAATGTACTTGTTAGTTATGCACATATATGACTTTTTATTGATCATATTTTAAATTGACCGTCGGGTAAAATATGATCTTACAGATTAAAATCATGCTCATGTTTTATCATCTTATGTGTAGCCCTATAAAAAACAGTTTGTACTTGTGATTTAAATAAGTTGTTAAATAGATAAATGCCCACAGCAGTACTTCTTCTAGAGGATGCTTTTAACAAGCATCAACAAGTACGGTAGCTGTTTTGCAGTCCACTTCAGCACAAAATGGACAACTGAGGCACTTTTGTTTAAAACACTTCAGAAGATACAGACAAAATATATTTTACCAGCTCATTTGTTCCTACAATATTGCAACATTGCCATCAACTATGGACGGATTAGAAATTTTGCAGTAATCTAGGAAAGTGATTTTTGAACAATTACTCCAGTACTGTCTTGGAAATCCAAATGACTGAATATTGAATATGGACTGTTAAGTCATTAGGGTAACTTTGAAAATTTTACTCAGAACTTGGACATTTCATTTCTGCTACAACAGCAAATGTCACAGCAGTTCTTGTCCAAGGGACTGGAGACTCAATAGCCAAAAACTTGCTTAGTTCCACTGAAGTCAAGACACGTGCTATATGCTGGTTCACAGCATTCATTCAAATTTCCTTTGCACTTTCATTGAAGATGCAGCCTCAGCAAAACACAGCCACACATTTTTCACATCACCATCACATACATACTCCCTGAGGAGCTACTGAATTTCCACAGAAAAAATCTTGCTTGGAAGTTGGTACCAAAGCATGTGATTAAAAAACACCCAAACGAACTCCCTTATTCTGTCACAAAATCAGCCCCCCTACATTTCATGAGTCTGTTCTAGCACACAGCATTTTACCATCTATTTCTTTCACCATAACAGTATTGACATACAACTGTGTCTCTGGGGCAACTGGAAGGGAGTACCTTTGTTCAGGAAATCAGTTAGGTTTGACAAAAGGCACTTATCTTCTCAAAAAGTGAAATCATAACGATTCAGCATTACTTTCAGTTAGAAACTCTGTAAAACTGTAGCCAGGATTTGTGATCCGCAAAGTGTCAGCGTCAACATGGGGCCTGAGCCTTAGGCACTTCTACACCTCCTTCAACTGCACTCCCACCAGGTGCTTTTCAGGGGTGGGTCAGTGCTGTGCGCACACTGATGGGCTGGCTCTGGAGGCTGCCGCTCACTGCCTGCTTTCCCTGCCCTCACTACAGGTCCAGCTGCATTCAGTGTCCTCAAGAAAGTTCCTCTGGACACCTGGGGTTCTCAGCAGACTAAAGTGATGCAGAAGACGTTGTTCAAAACAAAACCTGGTGTTATTAATCTAAAGGTTTGCAGCAAGCAAATTATTAAAGTAACAAAAGCTTCATACCTGGGTCT